TTGAGGAGAGAGAGGCTTGGGGGGATGGGGAGGATCGGGAGCGGAGGGAGGGAGAGAGGACAACAGAACACACAAGGGAGACAAGGGAGAGATGAAGAAGGAGAAAAGGGAGAGGACAATGTCGGCGGAGTGAGCCGGAGGCTCTAAAGTTTTCCTACTTGCAATAATGCTACTTTTGGGCGTCCCTGGATGTCCCCCAATTTCATCTTCATGATGTTTTGAACAGGTATGACCAATGGCTCTTTCAGCGCAATTCTGAGCAGTGCGAACACTCCTAGATATTGACCAAGGGGGTCTATGTGCCTCATGCTTCCAAGAAGCAGCTCACAATGAATGTTCGATAGGGCACCCTGGGGCGAGCACTAAATAGTTCCCTCTCTTCCGATCGAGTGGGTTGGCAAGACGAAGTAACCAAACTTGTTTTTTCCTACTACCCTCCCACCAACTAACATGGAAGTGCACAAACCCTCTTTCCAAGAGGAAAGTCGTCTTTCCACAGGGGTCTGTGCACTTCCATGTGAGTCGGTGGGAGGGTAAGATGCTCCAAACCCAGTGCGGAACGGAACTCGAGTGAGTTTAAGTCATCTTCTGGACAGTCAAATGAGCTGGTTTTCTGTAGACCTTCTCGGCCCCTTGCGACACCTCGGTGACTCCCTGGCCCTTGATGGTGGCAGGCCCGCTTTCTTGAGGGAACCCATTTTTGCACATGGGTCTGCCTTTCTTTGGCACGCTGCTTCCGAAAGGAACCTATTTCAAGCCCCACACGCCATCCGCACATCTTCAGACAGCAAAATGCCCGATAACAATGGAATCCCACCGGCAAAGGTGCCAAACCTGTAAAACGGCTCCTGGACATTCAGTACATTTCCGAATGTCCGACGGGTTAATCAAATTTCTGACTCAACTTCTTCTTGGATGCCAGCCTTTGCCCAAACCCCGGGGGAAGCATCGACGTCATGTCCTACCGACGAGGGGAGAAAAAAAGGCGAGATCCAAACGGCTCAAACGCGTGCTCCGGACTTCGGGGGTACCATGCTCAAAAACATCTCAAAGTATTGTTGGTACCGCCGGAAGTGAAAGTCTAAAGATCCAAAGAAATTCAATCAACTATTCTACAAAAACAATTGACATTGATAATATATATATAATTCGGCAATATTACCAATCAATAAGCATACTTGATCCTATAATTTTACTTTGTTCAGAAAAGGTAAGAAAATTATCTCAATTGATATTGCAATGATACTTACTGACCAAGGAAAGGCCACCCTAACATGCCGCAACTTGCCACCGACCGCCTCTTTCCTTGGCCTTTTGGAAAAAACAGATGGGTTTCCCTGGCAGATGGGATAAACCTAAACACCAACAAGGACTCCTACGCTGACGCCGCTCATTTCGCATTTCCGCTTCGGGAGATCAATTGCCATGCAACCTGCGATCGCCACCCCTCGGTGGCACGCCCGCGCTAATTAGCTGGCCTTGTGCTGGCCTAGCTGGTGGTTGGGTAATCAGTGACCCTGGCAACGAGAAAAACAATTGGATGCTCTTCTCAGTTGCGAAATCTGCTCCTGCTAAAAGTTAACTTTTAGTGGTTGAATACGGAAAACCCAAATTTGTTTGCAAAAGTTGAAGTCCTAACATCCAAGAACAATGCACCACAGTACTTTTGGTGAGGGAAGCTTCAAAACAAGAAAACAAACAGGGTGCTAATCGCTTCCCAAAATAGTGCACGGGGGGTCCCCCCAATGAAAAGAAACACTAGTGATTGCTAATTTTAGGGGTTCAAGCAATTCAGGCATAGGCGCTTTCGAAGCATTCAGAAACTTTGGGTTCTGGAACAAAACAAATGGGTCTGTCAGTTTTTTTGAGTTGGTACATTGGGGAAGGGATTGTTCAACAGCAGGGCTATTTAATGAAGCTGCACTCGATCCGACCCCGTCAAACATTGGACTGGTCTAAGGGGAGCCATGAAACACCACTTCCATTTGCTTGAGCCCATTAGAGAAAAAATCCCGTAGTGATAGATTCCCTTTCAGGGGAGTCTTTTTGACACCTTTGGTGGAAAAATGATCGAGCCGGTAGTGAAGCATTCCTTGTTGACCCCTGTTACTGTTCCCTTTAACACCACAGGGGAGAATGACAACTATTCATTTCAGCAAATGCAAGACCAGAAGGGCAAAAGGTGAAGTCCGGCAATTCTGCAATGCTGAGCCGTAGAAGAGTGCAACCTCTTGCACTCTATGGCTTTAACGACCACCCCGCTGGCAAGAAAAACTGAAATGATCCCACCATACGTAAGGGGGAGGGGGCTGGGGGTCTCCAATTCCATTTATCTGGGCTTCCCCATGAAAGGGAAATGGAACCATACATGGAATTCAGCAATGGGTGGTGCAAATTAGAGAATGCTGCCACAGTCGATAATGTTGACCCAGGTTTAGTAAACCCGTCCCACTATTAGGGAGGTGGTCCCTCCAAAAGTGATGAATCCCCACTAAAAGGGGGCACCACCCCCCTATTAGTCAACCAGAAGTTTATTATTTAATCCGGGGTTAACACTATTCCTCTTAAGTATCCCCACGCAATTCCGGTCCCATGTCCTTCGCTGCCGTAGAGGCCAGCAAATATTGCGCGTCGCTCATATGGAGTCCCAACACCATGCAAGCAAGCTCATCCCAGCTGCGCGCGGGGCGCGAGTACACGTGCAAGATTTCAAAATCCGTCGCGGCCGTGCCTGAGGAGGAGTCCTTCAACGCCTCTGCAAAAACTTGCTGGTGCTCAGAGGGGAATGTGGGAATGAACCCAGGGGTCCCCTGAACAGGAACCAGTTGGATGGTTTAAATCGGGGTCATTCCCTCCCTCCCTACTGAGCAGGAGCAAGATCAGACTTTTCCAGATGCCAAGAAATCAACGACAGCAACAAGATTCATGTGGCCCCTGGACAAAAAAAATCCGGTAGTGATAGATTCCCTTCGACACCAACAGAAAAACATCAAACATAGTCTTGAGCAAATGGTAGCTTCAGTTTGAAAGCTTGGCCTTTGACGAGTCGGCCGTTGACAACAAGGGATGGCACTTTTTGTTTAATACACAGGGCATCCACGGATGGAACGTTTTTTGCTATGAAGTCCGGCTCGCGACAGGTTGTTTCTACCCTCAGCGTTTGCCCCACTTGATGCTTCATGTTTGAACATGGGGACCCTTGGGTTCATTCCCACATGGCCATGGGTCATAATCCAAATCGGTTAGCGCCCAGTGAACATCCGATTCAATCCAACCACTCAAATAGGTTCTAAAATGGGTGGTGCACCTACCAAAATGGTACCATTGGTTTTGACCCCAGCCATATAACAAAAAGTTCAAGATAAATCTTCTGACCAGGGTTGCCTTGTTTTCAGGCTGCACTTTATTCAATCCAAGTACGGCTGCCGGCTGTGTTTCTTTCAAAGCCCGGATTGCAGAATCAAACTGTTTCATACTTAGGAGGCCACTGCGTTTTTTCGCCCTCAACTCTGCAAATCGGACCAACGCTGCACACCTGGTCAAACAAAGAGCACACACGGGAAAAAGGATGAAGTCGTGAAGGGCCCTCATCGTTCCTAAGCCCCTTCAAGCACCAAGACGAGCTCATACTGTGGATGGACGAAATCCTGCACCACTTGGAAACAATGGGAAACCATTGTTTGTTGGTAGTTACAGGTGAATCATCATTCCAGGGTTTCTTACGTGGTGCCTGATTTCGTCCACCCACAGCATGACAGGCACGTCAGGCACCAGCCGATTTGATTGGAGATTCACAGCAAAAACCGGGCCAAGCCGCAAAACTCTCGGCTGGCCCGGTGGTTCAAACGGCGATCTTGGGCTGGCGCTCAGTGAAGCCCCAAGGCTCAGAAAGCTAGTTGCGGTGCTGCGGTGAAATCGAAACTCAGAGTGGCACTACCCTCTTCCAACACTCCAACATTCATGGAAGTGAATCGGACGGGGGTTGGAAGACCAGCATCCTCTTGAACAGGCCATGATGGGACAAGAAGGGGCGAAGCGTCCATGCATCTCCTACTGATTTGCCCATCCCAGCCAGACATTACCCCCGATTCGCCATGTATCGAAATGGGCATTGCTTCCAGGCCGATGGAAGCTGGGTGCTTTTAAAGTAGCAACGCGAGTTAAACTCAGCTTTGGGTTCCGAGGACTCCAACTTGCCTCGACCAAACATGGATGCGCTGGAACGGCTGAAGAAATGTATGCGCCCCAATCCCCCCCCTGAAAACAAAAAAACAAAACAAAACAAATCAAGACAAGAAGCAGATGACTTCTTCATAGAGCCGATTAACTTTTGGGACCCAACGTGAACGAAAGCAGGGAAACCTAGAAATTCGATCTAGTCGATGGGCTTTGGACAACTGAGGCAACCGAACAGTCCCAAAGATCCTCAGAACCCAACCTGCACCGCCCCCAAATTTCAGGTTGGGCCATTGGCCTTTCGCCCGTCGCTTCAAAAGTCCCACAGGCCATGGGGTTTTCTACGCATGGTTGCTCCGAAGGCCTGAGCAAAGGCTAGCTAGGTTTGCCCCTGGAGCAAAACCACAAAGAAGGAGTTTATCATCTAGCTTTGTGGTTGGGGCATCTGTTGGGTGAGGGGCAAAATACCGGGGGGGCGGGGGGGCAAAAATTGCAAAACGGTGCCTTCCCTTTTGGCTTCGCTGATTGATAGGACGGGGGTACCTTTCCCATTAGCTTCAAATAATTGGTTCAAACCTCACCACCCTGCAATCCACTGGAACCTGCCTGGGGGTTCTGGGAAACAACTGTCCAACAGGGACCTTCTGGGTAGGGTTACCTGAACTGGGCTGCCCTCAGATCCCCCGCTAAAAGCTTAACTTTTAGCAGGTTACATGGAAACCACCACTAAGCTCTGAAAAGCTAAAAAAGTTAAAAAGCTAAGGAGATGGCTGGGAGCCAGCGAGTGAAGGCTAGCCTCAAAGGCCAGGCGCTTTTGAGCAACCTTACACGTAGAGCCAGGCCAGCGACAAAGGCCGCTCTAGCGCGAAGCGGCTCAGGCTATGCATGTAGTGCTGCCAGGTCCGCTCCTCGAAATCGGATCAGGTATGGGCTGCCCTCAGATCAAGTGACGAACTGTTACTTGGAAAAATCGGACCCCAGCATTTGTTTTTTTGCCTGGTTAGTGGAAAACAAAAAAATAGAAAAGGACAATACCACCAAACACTAAAAGGCTAATCTTCATGGATGGTATACTTCCATTTGGATAAGACCCTGGTGAAAAAAAACATATGTCCAGCAGTGATACATTCCTTTCAAAACCAACAAGAAGAAACATATTCTTAAGCAAATGGACGGTTTTCTGCTCCGCTGCTAAAAGTGACGAACTTTTAGTGGTTTATGGAAACCCATTCGTTGGCAAACAGTTAAAGTCCTAACATCCAAGTAAAATGCACCAAAGAAGGGATTCAGGTATGGGCTTGGGAGGTACGGTTTGTGGGCACAACCCGCTCGCACCACCCAAGTCGTCTTGGAGCGATGATTCCCCCCGTAAATACTAACAAGCAATGGCTTCCCATGGATTCAATGTGGTGAAAGATTTCGTCCACCCACAGTACGGAGGCTATATACCACCTGCATTTTTTCTAAGGGGTACAAGCTGCCTTCCAAGAAAATATTTGTCAATAATTAACATCACACTTCTGACCTTTGGAGCATATCAGTTGCTACGGTTCTACTTTGCCATCCCATCCGGGATGCCCCAAAATCGAACATGTGTATGTATGTATGTATATATATATATATATATGTATATATGGGTGTGGGTCAATATTCTGGTGTGGAACGTTCCGCGGTGACGCGGACGTCTGGAACGAGTCAGTTACGCAAGGTCGGTTGTTCCGGACCTCTGGGAAGACATGCGTGGAGTCCTCAAGCACACGTTCATTTCGTGTACGATGGACAGATGGATGGAGAATGGATGAATGGGTAGATGGATTGGGACACCGATGCGTTGTAGTCAGGCCCGCCACCCGCGCCAGCCGATGCACAAGGCTGGGAGGCGTAAGCCGATGTCCACCGATGCGCAAGCCGATGCAGGGCATCCTTCAAAGACTTCTTTGTCTCCAAAGCCCTGGCACATGTCGTCCTTCAAGGCTTCTTGGGTGGCGGGCCACGTAAGAAGCGCAACCACTTACATGGCGCATGTGTGTGCATGTGGGCTTGGTGCCAAATTGCTCCGCTGCGTCTGGAACACGTCTGGAACGGGTCTGGAAAGGGGTCTGGAACGGTTACGCGAACGGCTTGCGCTTTGGAATGCTAGCAAGCAGCATGTAAACATGGTCGTTTCAACAATGTGACGACCTAGAACGGTATCAAACCGCTACAGTATCGTATCGAACCGCTAGCGGCGGAATCGTATCGCACCGAACCGAACCAAAGTTCCGGAACACCGATATTTGTTTTCTCGATTTCTTTCTCCTTCTTTCTTGCTCCTTTGCTCCTTCTTTCTTGCTCCACGCCATTTCAGTCTTTGCCATTGCACTTGCACACCCAACAAAGAACGACCATCTGAATCAATACTCTAGACATAAATATGCATAAACAAGGTCTGGAACGGAAGGTCTGGAACATGTTTCTGGGCAAGGTCTGGAACGGAGGTCTGGAACGGAGGTCTGGATCGCATGTGGGTTCCGGACCCTGTTCCGGACCTTATAAATTGACTCGCAGCCATATATGTATGTATGTGTGCGTATGTATGCGAAATGTATATATAAAAAATACACTGTCCAGTTGGGGTATGCAAGTAGGGGACCCTTTAGTTCTTGCAGTGTTGCAATTATTCAGGATCCTGAAGTAAAGGACCTTAAGACCTACCTCGTGGTGAGCTAGTGTTATGTTCACGTAGATGTCCTCAACACTCTCCATGCAATGCATCACACCCGGTCCATGACAGACTCGTGGACCTGCAACAAGTGATCTTGGAACCGTTTTCCTCTAGACCCTCTTTCAGGTTCCATGTTTTGGTAATTTGCTTGGATGCCCCTTGCCAAGTTAGTAAGTGGTGTAATGATACAATTAGGAATGACATAAGCTCATGCAAAGTGTTCAATAATTCACCCACCTATACAGGGACAACTCCATTCAACGGGGGAATTACAAGTGCGCTGTCACCGAGTGGTTGCCTGCAACTCACTAATTTGGCCGAACACCCAAAAATATTATCATAACCATATGTGACCTGTTGGAAAAATAGATGGCCCGGGTGAATGGAATCACACCAATCTAAACCAGCGCCATCTGTTTCTCACCAAACAAGTCTCGAAAAGGCCTACTTCCACTACATAATACGTCCACAAGTGAACTTGTGTCCCTTTAAAGCCAAACAAAACAACAAAACTATGCTCAAGCAAGTGGAAGCCTATGCCCAGAACACCCCCCCCAAAAAAAAAAAAAAACACGGCCGCGGGCTGAGAGGAAACCGCCGAGGATTGGTGTCCTGGAAGGTGAGGTTGGCCGCATTCCAGGCGCTCTCACCCAGGTAGACCTGCAAAGTGACTCTCACGCCGCCTGCCGTCTCTCACCCCGCCGCAATTTCAGGGCTGTATTGGAATCCACGAAGCTGCGATACCTTCCCTAAGACTAACCCCCCGAGGGGAGACTGTTCCTTGCATCACAGAAGTGGGGACAAACCCCTACCCTGGGAGCAATTCTCCAGAAGACACAGTAGATTTGTTTGCCACTTCCGATCGAGTGGATGGCCACCAAAAACAGCACGGGACTGTTTGTAGTGTCCACTAAAACGGTCCAAACCCAACAAGTGACTAAAGTCCAGGAAGCCAGGGAGTGAGTAGTTTTTTGGAGGTTGCTACTTCTCAGTTCCCAAAGAGAACCATAATGAAACGTTACCCTTCTGGGGCCATGCTGTCCCTTCTTCCCAAAAGGTCACAAGGTCGGCTTTGGGCAAGTGAGATTTGGGTCTTCGGACCTTGTGTTATGCCCCTGTGTGAAGAAGTATTCAAGTCGAATCAAATCTGGACGACCAGGTTTGCCAGTTCTGGTCAGCTGGGAATTGAGAACTCGGCCCTATGCACTTGGGTTGCAACTTCAGATGGCATACTTATCAATTCTTCCGTTTCGCCTTTGACCCTCGGTCCTTTTGGGTGTGCTTGAATCTAACTACGCATGTTCAATTGCACTTTCTCTGTGCAGGCGGATATCTTCTCTCCCGCTGCCCCTCTCTTTCTCTCTCTCCCTCCTTCTCTCTCTCTCTCTCTCTCTCTCTCTCTCTCTCTCTCTCTCTCTCTCGTCTCTTCCTTTCTCTTCTCTTCTCGTCTGGAAACTGGAAACACCGGCCCAAACGCCCGTGGCTTTTCTCCCTTCGGCAAACCATAGCCTTCAGTCCACCCACTTGTTCGGGCAAAGCTCAGCGGCTTTGTTTCCAAACAGAACATCACAACCGAACCAAAAGGTGATGCTAAAACCAACGGAGTGGGGTATTTAGAGTGGTTTGACCGGGTGATGTTTAACTTGCTGGTTCTCAGAAGGGAATGAGGGAATGACCGAGAGAAAAAACATCATCCCCCTATGGCCCCTATGGCTTCCTAGGAAATCCCCCTACGGTTCCGTCCCAACACTCGGAACGGGTCATTCCCGACCTATCGCACCAAGAAGATCGCACCATGCAGGGAATCAAACCAGCCCTTCAGGGTCCCATGGCGAAATCGATTGTCCGTGTCGGTTGATACTCAGTTGCCCCCAAAGGGGGGACAACTGGAAATGGAAGGTGATCACCTTTTGGCCCTTTTGCCTGCATTAGAGCCTTTTCTTGGTTGACGTTGGAAGGGGAGCAAAAACATATTTTTTAGCAGTTAAGTGGGGATTTCCCACAAAACCACAACAAGCAACAATGTAAAATGTTTCCAACAACAACCATGTTTTGCCCCTTGCTTGAGTGAGTGGGTTCATCGAGAATGACCTTGACAAATGGGAACCAAAAAGGTCGAAAGGTCGACTCGCTGTGGGCAACTGGCTCAAAGCACCTGTCCCGGCAATCTCGACCGTTGATTCCTAGAGTCTCGATCACGCTTGTGCGAAACGCGAAACTCCTCCCTGGACAAATCCTACAATTGGAATGCCAGGAGGAAACCCTGTCTTTTGGACTATATAACCGTGTTTAACCTAATGTTGACCCCAGAATAATGAACCCCTGTTAAATATGGGGTGTCCTTGGTTTTAGTGGGGATTCATCACTTTTGGAGAGGAACACCCCCATATTAATAAACAGGGGCTTATTAATCCGGGGTCAACATTATCTTCTGGGCCCATGATCTAAAATGGAGGTCACGAAGAAGGTCTGACACTTGGGAAACAAGCGGACGGGCCCCATTCCTGCAGAATGTCCTTTTCACCCTCAGGCCTATTTTCAAGGGCATGAGACTCCAACCCCGACACTCGGATCTGCACGTTGCAATATGGGTGTGACTCAAAATGAAAGAGCTAGGGTTACGCAAGGTTCCATTTGCCATATTGTCTTGGGTGTGACTCAAATCAGAGCTTTTTTGGTCTTTGGTTCCATTTGCCAAGGTGCCGTTTTTGGGGTGCCATTTGTTGAGCCACAGCCATATGTCCAAAGAAGTCCAGGAACTCGGAAAGTGGCTTTTTCATGGAAACCCAACCACAGAACCAACTAAAAACTCAGTCGTCCAAAGGACCCAGACATAAAAGGTTCACCTTTTGGGGCCTTTACTAAAGATAGACCAAAATTGGAAAACCAAAAGGTTAAAAGGTCGATTCGCTTTGGGCAACTGAGAAAAACAAGTCTCAAGTCTATCTGGGCTCATGACTTTATATTTGGTCCAAGTCACCCCCGAGTGGTGAATTGTAAGGGAAACAACCCCCATTTCTGACTTTGACAACCCCCCAGAAACCGTCAAAATAATGACCCTCAGAAAACCAAACACCACCGAGAAAAAAAGAAGAAGCAAAAAAAGACCGGATGGTTGGGAACAAGAACAAGTCTTTTTCAAGTCCAGTTGAGCTCAGGGAGTCAGGGGACCAGAGGAGACCTCAGGAGAACTCCAAAAAGGCGCATTTTTTCTGGGCCTGCGCAGCCACCACCACACAGAGCTGGACCAAAGGGAGGCTCAAGCAGAGCAAGACCTGTGCGAGGGCGAGGCGCCAAGCTCACTTGAGCTCAGCTGGCTCAGCTTCCCTCGCCCTGGTGAGTCGCAAACAGTAGCCATCAGGCGTGTGACTACTAGTTCACCACAGCCTAAAATACTACCTGTATTGAAGTTCACTTCGGAGTACTCCGGACGACAGTAGCCATCAGGCTTGTGGCAAGGAAACTGCCATCGAAGGACACAGTACTACTAGGTCCTCCAGTGGAGAGGTTAGAGTAAGGGTACCCTTTTTTCTGTAGTCTACTTTAGGAGGGGAACTCTCGCCCAAAAAAGGGTAAACGGGCACCTAGCTGGGGGACCTAGAGTAGTCCAACACCCTTGCCAGCGTTAAAGCGTTTATGCCGGTCCCTGGCGCTAATGGCACGCCATGAAGGGGAACCCCAGTTTGACGCGTTAGTTTCAAGGGATACTTTGGTATAAAGCTCCTCAACAATCGTGGCTCGAGCGGCTATGAGACTTACGCGCCTTTGAGGCTAGGCTTTTGTCCCATGGTCCTTGATGGCCCCTAATGGTCACCACTGCGAGGGCTGCCTTTGCTTCCCATTGTGGAAAACTGATCTGAAAACCGCATATCTGAGTTGCCCCTTAGGAACTCACAAGCCAAAGGTTGGCCTGTTGGAACCTTGACAAAGCTTTGCGCAAGTAAGACGCAGCATGGGCCCTGGTCGAATTTTGAGTTGGGCGTCTGACCAAGGATCTCATGGCGCGCACAAGAAACAAGAGATGGACAACACTAGGATAAAATGAAGCACGCCTGCTCACAGGGGAGAGTGCTCCTCTGACATCGGATTCCCCAAACCGGAAACCCTCAAGACACCCAGGCTGTCCAGCATTCATACACGTTGATGAGTATGAGCGATATCCAGCATCCTCAATGTGGTCGAACACAGCCTTGCAAACGTGGCTATGTGGCAAAGGTTGCCCGGAATCTGACTGGAGGAAAAGCCTTGCCTGCGCCCACGGGCAGCTGGCCCTATTTCTTGGTTGACGTTGGAAGGGGAGAAAACAAATAATCATTTCTAGCAGTCAAGTGGGGGGTTCCCACTAAACCACAATAAGCACACATGTAAAATGTGTCCCAACAAAAAATGACTTTGACTTGATTTCTGCTGTTCACGCACGCCCTCTCAAAGTGTAGTCCCACTTTCCTGGGACTTTCATCTCCGAAATGAGCGGAAAACTCCCCCGCTCCCTCCCCTCTTTCCGTGTGGCTTTTAACCAGGCCAAATAATTGTGCCTCGACTGCCTCCGGAGCACACGCCTTGGCACCGCAAAGCAGCATCAGACCCTCGTCGTTGATGATGCACTTCTCCTGCTGCGCCTGGAAAATACAGACAGCCGACGCGCCTGGCCTTGGCTGTCCTAGCAAACCGTGGAAATGGATTGACGAATGGACCTTCATGAACATAGACACAGGTGGCCATGGAAAAAAGGGCATCCTTTAAGAAAGGACAAATTGGGCATAATGGGGCGCCACTGGGCAACTGGGTGAATGTAGACCCAGCAGCGGCCCAAACCACGCCTCATCAGGCCAAGAAACACACTCCCCTACAAAAATGGTCATCAATAGTTTCGCGCGCTGCCCACAAGGCATCAGAAAAAGGTTGCTTAGCCAAAACCACATATCAGGGGCTGCAGGTTGACAATTCCATCCATTGGCTGTAGAGTTGTGTGATGGCATTGGTTTTTCTCGCCAGTGTGCCAACACCAAGGTTGGACGCCCTTGCGCCGTGGAGTGGTAGTGGATTAGGCTGACGCAAAAGCCGCAGGGTGATTGACATTTGTTTATGGCCAGCCACCAAGCCGAAAGGAAAAAGGGGTGCCACCGAACAACTGGGCTAACCTTCCAGCCAGGTTTTGATCCTGTAGATGTGTATAAACCTTCATATGTGTATACATATGTGCATACGTATCACATCAAGTATGTTGGTATACGTATGCTTGCGTACGTATGCATTTGTGTGTGCATGTATATGTATATACTAACATATGCGTACATGTGCGTTTGCACGTGCATCTGATATTGATATATGTATATGCCTGTGTATGTGTATATATATATATTGTTCCCCCCTGGAATACTCAGGCTTTTCATCCAACCATTGACATGTTTGCTGTAAAACTGCATGTGAAATGCACTTTCCAGCTTCTAAAATGACGCCCAAAAATGCACTGTGTTTTAGACCTTAATTATAGCATCAGTACTCGTGCTAGCACATCCTGGATTGAAGGTTGAAGGTTGGAGATTATCTGACAACTCTTGCTGAGATTCTTCAACTCTATACTTAGGGGAATCCAGGATGTGCTAGAGCGTGCTAGCACATCCTGGATTGAAGATCGAAGATTGAAGATTTTCCCGCATCTGACGATTCTCAACAAAACAACATCTGGAGATTTTGAATCTTCAATGCAGGTGGGAAAGCCTCAAAGCGTTAAAGAGTCTAAAATATGTCAAGCTTTCTGGGAGCCAGGGTTAAGCGATGTATGTGGAATCTTGAATAGTTGGCCATCGAATCAGGGCAACATAATCTGAGCGAATGCTGAAAACAATGCGATTTACAGCATTTTATGCTAAGATCTGTTATTTGTTTGGCTCAGTTCTTGCTTGGCTAAAACCACATGGAGTTCGATAAGGCCAAAAACCCTTGTGAATTTTCTCTTGCTTCCAGTTTTTATTCGGCCATGGCAGTGGCTGTGTTCTCCACTTGGCTATTGAAACGCACAAGAACATGCAACCGGTTAACGTTGAATTTGGCTTGAACTCGAAACCATTCCAATTGCCATATTCTTCCTAGATTTGAATTTCAACAGTGGTTCGTGACAGTGGTTGAATCGTATTAGACAAGCAACGCGCAGCTGAGATAGCTGCATTCCAAGTTTGCTTTAATACACTTAGTTAGAATGTAAATGGAGTTATATACAAAAAAACAAACTAACATGTAAATTCAACTGCGCACGGACATGAAGCACTTTTGTGTTTGATTTGGATGTCAGGTGCAAGTAGGATTGAGTTCCTTCCCGCCAGAGCGCATGATTTGACGAGTTTCCTTGTGAACAGAAAAAGTAAAACCAAACAGCTGTTGCAGGCACGATGAAGCCGCCAAAGCATGCTTCACGTAACACTCTTGTGCTCAAAGTTGTTCTTTTTGAGCTGGGGCTGCCAAAGTGCACTTCGCAGACTCCAGCGTGACTCTAAGCGCACTTCGTGTTCGAGCTGTTTAACTAGGGGCTCCTTTTGAAGGTTGAGATACCTTGGTTGCTTTCTCCCCCCCTGCTAAAAGTTTAACTTTTAGTGGTTTAATGAAAACCCCACTAGTTGGCAAAAAGTCAAAGTCCTAACATCCAAGCAAAATGCACCAAAGATACGTTGTACTTAACTCCTGCTTGGTTTGACTTGCATGGAGTTGCACGTCCTGTCAGCTCAGTTCAGAGTTCCCCCCGCCTCGCCAAAAACTAGAGGTCTGGACGAAAACCTCAGTATTTCAAACGGCGGGTAGCACATACGCATATATATATATATATATAGGTATACGTATGTGTATATATATATATATAGGCATAGTTCATGTGTATAACTGTGCGTATGTTTGGGTTTGCCTCTTGAAGTCTTGTGGGGGAACCCCCGAAATGAGTGAGTTCTTTTCGGTTGCAAGCGCGCGCCTCAAGCTCGGTGTTCAAGGGCATGTCATCCATCTCCACTTCAGGCCTTTCGATGCAGTCCCAAACCGGCTGGGATTGCGAAGCTTTACTCACTTTCCATCTGTTTGAATTGGCTCTAATAGCCAACCTATACACCCCACATGCACATACCCCACCGATAGGCCTGATACAGGGATGAAATTGTTGGGGTACGTACCCTGTGAAACCCATGTTTTACCACTCATGTCGGTGCAGGCTTAGTTGGGGTATGCAAGTCGGCCCTTAGAATCACAGTCTGCCCAAAGTGTCCCAACGTTTTCCAAGCTAGACTTTGGGATTGTTTGGAAGTGGCTTGGCCGCTATGACTCTGGGTATGATTCTGATGACTCAGGCCCCGGAACTCGGAGTGGCTGTTGTCCGTGCATTTTCTTGGCCAGAGACCCGGAGCCCCAAAACATTTGGGATGGAAATCACCGGGCAAGGATGGAAGTGGCTCTTAATGCGGAATCCCCAAAATGGCACCTAGGTAGGCGGAGCCCAAGTCAACCCAGTCCTCAAGGACTTGAGGCGCGTTTTGAGTGCCTAGAAGGGAACCAAAGCTTCAACCTGCGGCTGGCTCATCGCCTGGAATCGCACGCCAGCTTGGAAGCCGTGACTCAAAACCAGAAACTAAAGCTTAGTTACTGGCGGGACCCTGCTAAAAGTCATTCACTCTTGGTGTGTCCAATTCGGAAAATCCGAGCTTCAACCAACCAGCCAAAAACAAGAAGCCAGAAAGAAACGGACATTGGCTTTCTGACTCTGCCACTTGAGTGGAATTTTGTCGCTGCATGCCCCTGTCTTTCAGCTGTGAGCCCTGGGTGCATGAAAAAGCACCAGGGGAGGTACATCTGGGGACGCCCTTCCTCCATGTGCTTAAGTCCCCAGGAAAAAATATATGTCCAGTAGTGATGGATTCCCTTTAAAACCAACCGGGGAAAACAAAAAACATAAACTTAACCAAATGCGACGCTCTTGGCTCAGCTGCCCGGCCGCATCTTCAGCCCCCCATTTTGCGCCATGCCGATGATCCGCGCAGCGACCTGCGGAGCGAAATCGGAGGCCAGCCACCTCAACGGCGGTTTCTCAAAGTCTTCCTTGCTAAGTGGACGGCCCGAAAAGAAGTCCAAACTTTTTGTTTACCACTAAATTGGTCTTCCCAAAAAGTACAAAGTCCAGGAACTCAGGAAGTGAGTGCACGAAATGTCCGACTTCAGGGTTGCTTGGGATGGCCTAACTATATACTTAACCACCACGCGTACATTCGGGGCATTGCTTCTTCCATTATACTTGGGGTATTCACCACGCAGGGCTCTTTATTGATTCCCGGCAATCGCTCCGCATCCGCTCGCAGCTCTCAAAAAGCCCCAGGCGAAGGTGTTTTCTCTCTTTTTTTTCGACTGGAGCGGCGTCTTTGGGCTCTCCCGGCGCTTCCAGCTGGGCAAGAACCTGCCAGTAACACGCGAAATGCTGCACAGAGTTGCAGCATAGGGACCTGGGAACACAAGGTTCACCTTTTGAGCCCTTACAAAAAATAAACCAAACCAGGGAATCCAAAAGGTCAAAGGTCCGAAGGCGTGTAAGCAAACCAACTCAACCACAATAATTTGTTGCACATTAGGATGTTCCCTAGTTCCTCTTGATCGCAATCCTTTCGAGCATCCTTCGTCTTGCTCCCCTCTTAAGCATCACCCCAAGAAACTCATCAACCTTTTGGCTGAACTTGAGGGAGAACAGCACACCTTCCACTCGGCATGGGCCAAAAAGGCTTGCAATCCCAGAACGATCCCCTGACTTGTGACTCGCCTGGATGTGCAAATTCTACAAGTCGTGAACACATAATGAATGCCCAAGTTGAGAACCTGCATCATGGTGAGCTCAATTTACCCCCAAACCGGTGGGCTGGCGATAAAGCTGCCAATTCTACAAAGTCACCCCCTACTCGTGAGTGGCAGGTTCAGGGAAACAACCTCATTGTCTGGCTTTGATAATCTCCAGAAACAATCAGTAGGATAGGGAGGCTTTCCCTTGCATGTTTCTTTGAAGCCTCTCCAAAAAGAATCGGCACCCCCATGATCACACACACCATTCCCCTTTTTAAAGGAAACTCTTTTTGGGGTTGGCTCACACCGGGAACGAAACGGGCCATTCTTTGGCGTTCCCTTTTTCTGGGTGTGGAGGGTATAGACACATCACATGATATAATGGGTACATAAAGCTTACACGCTTTTACAGGTGATATTTACGCATCACCTTCAAAACCAAAACCTGAGAATGCCCTTGATTTTAACCTTGACATCAGCGTCTTTGGGGGATCCTCGAATACGGATGTTGTGTTGTCTCTTGGTTTTCCTTGAGCCCGCAAAAAAGAGGCACCCTCAAACCCATATCTGAAGATTCCCTTTATAGAACGCCTTGGCAAGTTCAAATTAGGGGTTGGAACTTGCCAGAAATCTCACTTCCTGAGTTACCACTAAACTTTCTGTTTCCCACTAAAATGGTCTTCCCAAAAAGTTTAAAGTCCAGGAACTCAGGGAGTGAGAAATCCACTGCTCTTGCTAGGTATTCCAAGAGTTCTTCGGATTTCGGGCGCCTCCGCGAGGGTTTGCAGCTCCTGTGCCTGGTGCGCCACCTCCCTCCGCAAGACTCGCAGCTCCTGGGAAGGGCTGCGAGGGGGGGTCGCTGGCGAGACCTGGCGAGGTCTTGCCCCTAGCTCGGTGTCTGTGTTGGGGGACCACCCCAACATGTGTTTTTGTTTGTTGCTTTCCTGGTGGCTTGCCCTGCAAATCCAAAAGCAATGTGGTTGTCCTGGTGGCTGCCGTGAAAAAGTTAGAAGTGTTCGGCCAAGCTGGTAGGTTGTTGGTATATTGGGTGACCTACTTATGAGTCGCCCAAGCGCAGCAAGCCTGGTTGTATAGTCTTCCTTTCCACCCCTAACGGTTTGGCAGCAACAACTTTTTTTGCAGCCTACAAAAAGGAACAGAACAACAAGTCTGAGATGAAGGAAGAGGAAATCATTTGTAACCGCTGGAAAGAACTGGCCAGCGGATGGACAAGACTTCCTTCCCACTCACTTCCTTCCTTCATGTTCCTTTTCCCTTTGCCTTCCTGTCTCTCCGTTCCCTCTCTCGCCTATCATTCATCACTTCATCTTGGCGAGAGCTAGGGAAGGAAGGTAAAGAAGCCGGGAAGTGAATGAACATGAATGAAGCGGTGAGTTCAATCCCTCGTTCCTCGTCTCTAATCACATCCTTTTCCCATTCAATTTGTTCATTCACTTCCATCGCATTCCCAAGGTTGACAAGGAATGGATGGTGGAGGAAAAGGAGAGTAATAGAGAGGTAAGGAATAGAGGTTGAACAAGAACTACATCTTTCCTTTTCTTCCTATGTCTGTCCTTCCCAACCACGGCCAGGCCTCTCGAAAGTTGGGAAGGAAGAAGACAGACAAGGAAGAGAATAGGAAAAGATAATGAAGAGAGTGGCACACATTATGAAAAACATTAAAGATGAAAGAGATAGAAGTATTTTAACATTGTAATACTTTCATATTTATTTATTATTCACTTCTTCTTACCTTTTTATAAATCATATATTTGTTCATTTTTCACTTTGGTTTTTGTTGTTGTTGGGGAAGTTCACGCCCTTCTCGCGGTTATAGCCAGTAAACGATAGAAAACTATTGAGAGAAACTTCCCTGCAACTTTATTATTTTCATACCTTTATTGCAGAACATGATCCAACAACAGTGGAGGTTCCGCCAACTTAGTACTTTGTAGCCGTTGTAAATGGTTGGGGTGATCGTCCCCTTACCACTGGTTGTAACCTTCGTTGCCGGGGGGGGGGATAGCTGCACGGCACTGTGAAGGGACATCTGACCAAAAGGGTTCTCCAGGTCCAAACCAACACGCCAATAACACCTCAAAAGCAACAATCATGTGAACCTTGGAGACGAGCAAACCAAATCGTTCGACCGGCTGTGTACCGTCCGATACTTCTTTTGTCGGGGACCCTTTGGTGCATATCATTCACACGTCCAATATTGGATTGGAGGGCCTTTTGCCATTCAGGTGCTGCATTAATCCTGGGACTTAGACCACCTGAAACACGGTGACTTGTTGCTTGTTGAGAAGGGTAGAGAAGTATGGCAATGCTCCGCCTACATTGACGAAAGCTTCCGGAGTGCTGGCGACCAGAATGCTGGAACCGCCCGATCAATGCCACCCGGCTCCTCCCAGTCCCCAACCAAGCACCAAGATCCATTCTCAGTCGGCCCTTGGTTGCTGTTCACACCACAGACCCTTGCCGATTTGTGTCAATCTTCCAGAGAAAAGACATGTACATATATATATACATATATATATATATGTCTGTATATATATAACATACATACCCAGGCATAAACAATTCTATTGACTTTTGCGAATGCATATTGCAATCCTTCTTTCATCGTGCAAAGGGTTCCCATAACAGGTTTCTCAAACTCACAAAGGGCACTTCCCTTCAAGGCCGCTGATGACGAAACAAACGACCTGATTGATCACGGAACTCTCTCCAGCTCTCGGAAAACAAACGCAATTTCCGCGAAGGACCGGCAGCAATGATTGATAGGGGGGTGTCCCTGGTCTAGGTAGGGAATCACATCACTTTTTGGAGGGAACCCCTCCCCCTATTCATAAAATGGCGTTGATTCATGTGGGGTCAACATTCTCACTTGCCCAAAGGACCCATCAACAAAAGGTTCACCTTTTGGCACCCCTACTAAAAATAGACCGAACAGGGAAAACCAAAAGGTCAAAAGGTCGGCTTTCAACATCTGAGCATTACATAAGGAGCCCACATCCACTTGCGCTTCGATCTCGCTCGTGCCTCGGGCTCTGAGATCTCCCGCAGCATTTGCTGGGCTTGCGCTAGGGCCTGGCGAATTCTTCACCGGTGTGGATGAACAACCTCTAGGTTGCGCCCCTCAAACGGAAACTGTTTGTTTTGAGTGTACCCTTTTCGGATGGTTTTTGAAAAGGAAATCAACCGAAAACTACCTTTTTGGGGGGTGTGCCCCAAGAAAAGACACACCCATATCCAAACCACAGCTTTCCAAACCAAACCCGAGACGGATTGAACAATTTACACCTGATTGAACACGGGTTTGTCATGGCCGGACGCATAGTTACATGCACATGCTGGCGAACCAAAGCAACCCTGATTTGTCATATCCTGTTAGCGGGGTTCCCTGTCAATTTGGCTGGGGGGGGGGCTTTTTTTAGAGACATTAACCACTATGGACTGCCCTGAGCGCTTCAGAGACAAGGGGAGACATGATCCTTGGATGAGGCCCGTACCAGCCATCCCTTTTTCAGGGCTGAACCCCGAGGAAGTTAACGTCTTCATTCCTGAACACGTTCAACCGAGCCAGCAATTGTCGCCTAGCTAAGGGCCAAGTTTGAAGGGGGCACTCCAAACTAATTAACCAACTGGTGCTGAGCAGTTGGGCTGGTTTGAAGGGGCACCAACATGGGAAAAACTCCATTTGCTTTTTAGTGCTCCCCAATTTTGACAGGTGTATGGATTTGTCTTTTCCTGAGAAAACCACTAAACAACGGTGGTTTCGAAATGGGCTAGCTTTTGAAAGGGAGATTGAAGACCTTCCTTTAGGTCTCCAACAATTGCTACTGATGGTTGCGAAATCCGCGAGTTGGTTGGTTGGTATTTCTGTTGGGGAGTCGAACCCTCCTCTTGGGTTCCATCTTGATTTAGAAGGGAGATACGAGAGTCCCTTTTCCCCTCCCACAGTTGCTGTGTTAGCATCTCTACTCTTGGCATGGTAGCGAAAAACTGACTGTTTATTACAGACCCCCAGTAAAAATGAACAGAAAAAAACAAGAAACAAAACACACACACCAAGAACAGTGAAGTTAGAGGGCGGGATAAGACTCCGCCGGCGACGCGCCTCGTTGACCGCTTGGGCGCTGTCCTCTGAGGCCAAAGTCTCCCGCTGCAGCTCCGCCTCCCAAGGCGTGCGGATGTCGGGGGGGGGGGGGGGGGGGGCGGGGGAGCGGGAGCGTTCGCTTGTTTGCTGGGGTGGTCTTCCCTCCCCCCAAGGGGGGGAGGGGGGGGGAGGGTTGGCCAAACTCTCTCTCTTTACAACCAATTCTGCCTTCCCAAGAGGTCTGGAGTGGAAGTGAGAATGCTGGGCTGCTCCAAGCCCACCTGAGCAAAGGTTGATCACTTTGGTAGGCTGAATGGAAAGGCACATGAGCTCCAGGGCCAACACCCCCAAAAAGTCTGTGCCCCCTCCAAAAAACACCCCCAAAAAGAAGCTCACCCCAAACTTTCTTAAAAACACCCTGGACCCTGTAAGAAACAATGTACTGCAGGGCACCCTGATCCGGTCAGAAAAAGTTAGAATCTGGCTGGCGCTGAGAGAATTCCATGTTGCTGTCCTTTCCAACCCTTAGTTTGATAGCAAGAAACAAGTGTCGCACGAAAAATGGACCTAGTTAATTTGCTGTCTCGCGCGTTCCTGGTAGAATAGCCATCGCCCCAGTTGGTTGTTGTTTCCACAACCTTTGCAAACATATCATGAAGCTAAACAAAAATAGTTTTATTAAGAAGTCAAACTTTAAGCCAGCCTATGTTAAAACAAGAGCACCCTCACTCGACAAAAGAGGAGCCGAAGGCTTAACGCCTAACAGGGTCGATCGGATCGGTTTGGTTGGTCTGGGAGCCTTGACAAAACATAGTTGGGTCTGAAAATAGAGGGGCATCTTTGCTTTTGGTTTCCCCTAAATTCTCCCCAAAACAGTAATTACCCTTAAACCATCAGACCGTAAAACCGACATGGGTGCGTCGGTTTTGAGGCTACCCCCTTTTCTGGTAAAGGGAAACCACAAGGAACACCTCCCCCCCCAGCTTTTTAGTCGGGGGGGGGGGCCCTTAAACGAAGACAAAAGGAACACCTCCGATTATTTTTGGGGGCGGCCTCCGGAACCGAAGACCCAAATGTGAAAAGCACCGCCCTGGAGCACTGCCCTACCCGGACCGCTCCTGCTTCTGTGCCCGCAAGCGCTGCAAGCGCCGCAGCCGCGCCTCAGCGCGAGTGAGTTGCCAGGGGCTGGGCTCCTAACTCCCTGGCCTTACGTTGGTAGAACCTACATTGGCAGATCCTGATTTTGGGGAGTATGAAGGATTTTTTGGGGCATCTAGAACCCTGCGCAAAAACCCCGCCAGAAATGTTTTGCGGAGGCTCCGACCTGCGCAAGAACTGTCACCTTACCCCCAATTGCTGGTTTGGTTTGGTGGTTTGGACGTGAAGGGCCAGCTTCCTCATTTGGCTTCAAAAGGTAACCGGGGTTCAAGTCTCCAAACCAATCCAAACCACCAGCCGGCGATCGATTCAGGGGCAGGGGTTCCTGGTTCGCTGACTTGCAATATTCGGGGCGTTCGCCTTTCCCGTTTACGGAAGCCAATGGGAAAAGCCCATGTCTAGATATTTTCTGTGGTTCCCTATTGTCAGGCGTACCGAGGCGCATTTAGTAATTTAGGGCGAATTTAGGGGGTGGAGGCTCCATTTCTGCAATGTTCCTAAGCTCCCTGGAAAAACAACAAAATATTTCCAGTAGTGATAGCTTCCCTTTAAAACCAACTAGGGAAAATAGAAAATATTCTTAAGCAAATGGAAGAATTTGCAAGCAAACCACAAACCAAGCACCTTGAACAACTAGCGTAAATTCCCTGGGGGGGGGGGGGGTCGGGTCAATCACCCGCATGAGAAAAATCGAGCAAATTCGGGGGTCCAACCACCAAATGAGCAAAACTCGCCGCTATAATACCAGGTTTCACTCGGTTGCACCTAAGTTGCCAACTTACTAACCTTGACCAGACCCAGAACCCTGCAAATTGAATTGCTAAAACTCCATGCGGGCAAGGAAAAGCAATGGACACCCACAAAAGCGTAAAACATCATACTGTGGATGGACGAAATCCATTTCGCACCACTTTAAAACCATGGGAAACCATTGTTTGTTGGCATTTCAAAATAACAAACATTCCAGGGATTCTTGGGTGCAGCATTTCGCAACCATCCACAGTATCACAAACAGATGAGCGATGCGTCTCAATGTAACTTGACAAGTGGTCAAGTAGTTCCCTCCGTCCAATCCCAGGCGAACCACGTAGGTACCCACAATTGGCCCTCATGCGTCAAATGTTGGTGTATAGTACCTACATGGACGGTTACTCACTTCCTGAGTGGATTGGCAAAAAAAAAGAAGCTTTGATTTGCCCAAAGTGGTCCAAACCAAAAAGTGACTCAAGTCCATGAACTCAGGACAGATCAACATTCCTGGCCCCAAAATGACCATGGGTAACTTTTCCCATTTACTTGTAGTGATGATGGTCATCCAACGTATCACGGACCCTTTGATCAACCCCCCATCTGTTTTGAAGCAGGGCCAACCCCAGTTGTCCCCGGTTCCTTTCAACCAACAAGGGAATATACAGCAAATGGAAGTTGGTCACGTAGCACCTCTGTGTTGGTCTGCAAGGGACGCCAAATGGAAGATGAGCTCGGGAAGTGAGACCCACATGGCTCACAAAAATGTGAGCCAACATGGCGCCTGGATTGTTTTTTTTTTTTTTTTTCCCATAGTAAGCGGAACCAAAGGCCAAAGACTCTTTAGACCAAGCAGCTCTCGAATTTTGAGCGCCATGAGCCATCAAAACCGATCGTGCACCCATTTACGGCAAGGGGATTGAACCCATTTACCCTCCAATTACCCGGGCTTTGAGCAAGTGACTCACATGGAGGATTCCTTGGTTGACGTTGGAAGGGGAGCAACCAACATCATTTTAGCAGTTACGTGGGGATTGCAACCACTAAGCCACAAAATAAGCCAAAATGTAAAAAAAAAAAGAAGCCGTTTCCCAACCAACCCACGGGATTCGCAGCTAAAAATGAAACTGCCGGCCTTGTGCCGGCCGAAGTCCTCCAAAGCCGCCTGCAGCTGAGCTGCCCGCTCCGCCTGAAGTCAACATGGGCGGCGTCCGAGGGGACCTTTGGACCAATGACTGGGTTGACGTTGGGTTTGGGGAGCAAAAATTCTAACAAATTTTATGGCAGTTAAGTGGATTTGGATTTCCACCACTAAACCGCAATAAGCAAAAATGGATAAATTGTTTCTCAACGACAACCATGTATTTGGCAGATTCCCTTTTCAAGCAGGGTAGTGAAATGTTTCAGGTGCAAAACCAAGTGGAGTGCTGGAACGTGGGTACAGCACTCAGTTGTTCAGTAGCCCTGGAGGAAAAAAGGGAACCCTTTTTGGGGAAGACCATTTTTAGTGGGGCAGCCACCAGACAACAAAGGGGAAAGCCACTGAACAACTGAGTTCTGCTCAGAGAACCAGCAACATCCAAGAGGAAACAGCGATCGGTTTTTGAAAAGAACGGTGGTTGAAAAGAACGGTTGGATCAACCCCCTAGAGTCTTTTCTTGGGGTACCCTCTTTCCAATGGAAGTGGGCCTGGGGCTTCTTGAAGAACTAGGTCCTCCAGTAGAGAGGCTAGAATAGCGGTACCCACTTGTTTCTGTCTATTTTAGTAGGGGGTTCCCCTCCCAATCAAAAAAGTTGGGTGGTCAAAGGGCACCTAGCTGGGGGCTTCTTGAACCAAATTGATGCCCAAGGAGGAATTGACCCATCACTGCTGGCCCATCCACTTCTCTGCTCGTCGGCATTCGGTTTCAGATTTGGAGGTATGCAGAGTCTCGGAAGCCACTCGGACGGCTTTTTTGCCGCTCCTACTTCTGGTTGAGACTGCCTCCCCACATTTTCATCCAGGTGTTGATTGTGGCTTTCGGAACCTGGGGGAAACCAAACATTTGGCGGATTGGACCACTATTGCACATCTTGCTGTTCTTCCGGCCCACTTATCGAAGGGGTGGGAAATTCTGCCTGGCCAGCTAGCAGAATCGGTGGCAGAAAAAAGCATCCATATCTCCAGAACAAATATCTGGCAATCGCTTGCCCCAAGGAGCCAGAAATTAGTTAAGCTTCGGAGGGGCATGACTAAACATGGGCCAACAGGGAAAAACTATAAAGATCCAAAGGTCGGCTTTGGGCAAGTGAGTAGTTGCTGTGTCACAGTTCCCATTTACAGATCACCACACCATGGTTTGGTTGTCTGAAGCAACTGTGTTGCTGGTGATTGCGCTTGTGGGCCATAAGCCATGTGAAATATACTGTACCTGTACTGGACTGAGTGACAGATCGCGTTCTAGACCAGAGTTTCGCTTGTAGACCTGGTCCCCTGATCGGCATTGCCAAGAGCAAAATGTTGTCTCGCCCCAGCCGGGTACAGTATGATGTCAATTGCTCACAGTGACGCTGGATTCGTGCAAACCCGGTGGGCTAGGAAGTGTTCCCCTGAAAGTGGAGCAGCCCATGGCCACATGGGACACCCCCTATGACTTGGTTGACGTTGGAAGGGGAGCAAAAATTGATTTTTTAGCAGTTAAGTGGGGGTTCCCCAAAAAAACACAATAAGCAAAAATGTAAAATATGTCCCAACAACAACCATTTATGAGGGGGGGTTATTTGGTTCTCGGCTCTTGGAATGGGAATGGTGGTCCGGACATCAACCGTGCTTCATGGCAGTCCGGAAACTATTTGTCGTCGAATTTGTGGTCAAATCACGAGGGCCCTCCAAACGATTGGTGTCATGTGGGCCTCGACCAAAAAAAACACAAGAAGAAAAAGCAACACACATACAAAAAAAATGGGAGGTTTCCCGTTGGTTCCCTTTCTCGCTTGGGTCAAAGGACCATAAATTAACAAGAAATAACAGGTTCACCTTTGGGACCTTGACAGAACAGAATCCAAATTCGGGTTACCAAAAGGTCAGATGCCGATTCGCTCTGAGCAACTGAGTCTGACCAGAGCTGACTAGCCAGAAATGGTGCAAACTTTCTGGGCGTTGATGAGGAAACCTGCCAAAACAGTCATGGGAACCCCGGATCTAAGTAGAACCCCTGGCTGATTTGATTGGGGGGAGTGTGCCTTCTTGGTGGGGGTTCAGACCACTATTGGAGGGCCCCCCGCCCCTGTACTGAAAGGACGGGCTTAAAAAAGGTCAGTGCATCCCATTCTTTCATTTGCTTAAGCCCCTGGAAAAGAAAACTGAGAAAATATGTCCAGTAGTGAAATCGGTTCCCTTTAGAACTAAAGGAGGAAATACCAAATACTCATTTCAGCCAATGGAAGCATTGAGGAGCTTTCAAAGCCTCCATTTGCTTCAGACCCCAGGAAAAATGGAAATGGTTTCCAGTAGTGAAATTGATTCCCTTCAAAACCAACAAGGGCAAATAGCAAATATTCAAAAAGCAGCAAAAAAAAACAAAAAAGATATTTCTTTGAATATTCCCTTCCTTTCCCTTTAAAAAAAGACAACAAGCAACTGGAAGAAAGCACCCCGCGGACACAAACCAACTCCACGCCCAAGGGCCGCCCCGCGCCTCCGGCGCGCACGGGGCGCCATTCGGCGCCACTTGCGGCACGTGCGGCGGATGCGCGGTGTCGGGCTGCGCCAGCGCCAGCGCGCGTAGAGCCTCCGGTGCGAGTCCGGTTGCAACGGCTTCGCTGAGAAACCTGCAGTTTAACACCAGAAACCTAAAACACCTCTTCCTCAACAGCATCCGTTTGTGTATGTGGTTGTTGCTGTTCCTTTCGTTTTTTGGTTCTAATGAGCTGCTTTTATGCCTCTTCTTCTTCTAACATGGGTTTTATATGTGTTTTTTCCTTTAAATCCGCTGTTTCTTTTCTCCAGAGGGTCCCGGCAAGGGGTTTCAGGGCACGCGTTTCGTTTTTCTTCCGACCGCGGACATCTCCGGTTTCAGGCCGGCCTCCAGGCCGCGCTGCAGCCGTACCGGCTCCATGGCGCCAAGGAAAATTTCAGCGGCTCAAAGCTTAGCTTTGAGTGGGTGTAAATTCCCGAACAACCAGCTAAACACCAAATAAAAAACCATCACACCAGCTAAACACTAAAAACCAACTAACAAAAACAACTAAAAACCAAGTAAAAAGCCAGGCAAAAAAACAACTAAAACACTTAGCTAAACCAACTAACAACCTAAAACATTAAGGGTATGGCTGGGAACCACCAAGTCTGTTGTTGAATGCCTTCTAACCAATGGGTTCCTTCTGGAAAACGAACTCGTGATTGTCTTTTCGTGCAAGCTGGAGCCTGGTTACTAGAACTTGTTTAGGGTTCCCTGATCTCTGACCTCGCCTGGGACATATTGCTGGGTTCGCTGAAACATGTGGGACTTTGTGTCAAGTTGTCTGGTCCTCTGCGGGGCCTTCGTCCCTTTGGTTTTTGTGGCAAAGGACGTGCAAAGCTAGATCTCCCCTTAAACATCACCCCAGGAAACTCCTGGAAACTCGGCAGACACGGGTCAAAGTGAGGCTGAAGCTGGCTCAGCCATGGCGAGCCATCAAGTATGGAGTTCCAACAGAAATGGCTCAGCTGGTTCCAAGAGACATGAATTCGCCATGGAGTTCCAAAAGAAGTCTTTGTTTCACCTGTTTTTGTTTTTTTTTAGAATAAATCGGGGGGTGGGGCACTCAAATTTATCAATTTTCAGATCAGATGAAGCGGATAGTGAGGCCATGGCCACAAGAGTGCAACTTGACACTACGAGCCTGACATTTCGGGCATGGCGTGACATCCCAACGCTGGAAACTGGTGAAGTCTCTTTGCTCAAATGCCCTGGGTTGAATGGAACCCCGCGCTAAACCACCTAAAAACCTCCAAAAGCCTAAGCAACCGGACGATTCGCTGGTAAACCCCCCAAGTTTGGGCGTCGCTCGTCGAGAACCCAAGGAATGCCGATCCAAAAATCGCACGGAGTGCCTCAGATTTAGCCCTTCGAGAAGCATAAACGGACCCCACAGCTCCCATATGGTGGGCGTGGCTTTGGTTTCCTTTGAAACAACCCTAGGGCACCCTTAAAGGACCCCAAGCTTCCATTTGCTGAAGTCCCAGACCAATAAGACAATCATATCCAGTGGTGGTGGATTGCCTTTAATCCCAACAGGAGAAAGAAACAACTTAAGCAAATGGAAGCTTGGAATAGGTGCATGACTTGAGAAACGTGGCAAATGTGATATCTTCGCATGGCCTAGTCGACGGGAAACACTGCACTTTTGCCGAGGTCCGTCACAGGATAAGCCCTGTGTTTAAGAACGTCAAAAATTAGTGGGATCGTGGGCGACGCTAAAACCACCATTGAGACATGACATGATCGTAATTTCTTGGGCTTCCTCCCACCAAATAACATGCATCCTGACCAGAAGACTTTGTGTTGAGAGGAACATATTCATGCAGCGAACACCCTTTAGAAGGCAAGGGATCCCCATGCACAGGCCCTAGATCATAACCATCTCGTGTCAACCCGGCTAAGCTCGCCTTAAAATACGGCAGCCCGATCTGCAAATGGACGAGAAAAAAAACCTTCGCGCCAATTGAGATGGATGAAACCCTATGCTTTAAGCATTAAACTGGGATACACAAACCACTACACCACTTCTTGGCCCACAGTAAGGGTACACAAAGCCTACTATTTCCTTCTGCTTCATAGAACTATAGTCTGCCCCAAACTCAGTTGCCCAAAGTACCTAGAAGACGTCAACTTTTCGGGGCCATGACCAAAATGTGAAAACTTCCTGATTGAAAGGTCGATCCGTTGTTGGTAACTATTTAAACAAGAATGGGCATGTCCTTTTTGCAGGGGAGCCCCCATATGGTGGTTTTCCTTTCGACTTTTCTTCAACCCACCCAGCAAGCCAAATTGTTTTGGGATTCAAGAATTCGCTGTTGTCCATCCTTGCTGATGCCTGGTGCCTGCCAACACCCTGCCTGGTGGGGCATTTGCTCGAGCACCTTCGCTCGGTATCCTGAAGACAGGCAAATTTCAGTGGCACCGGGTGTCCCAAACCAGATGTGAATTTTTGAAGGAACCCCGACAAAGGTGGGGTTTGTTTTGATTCTCCTTAGCCACACAAAAAGGGGCACCATCACGCAGAAAGAGGAGAGTCATCTAGAAGTGGCTCCTTAGGTGATATTTGAACCAACTGACACTGGGGTGCTTCACAACACCCTAAGCAAAAGGCTTTGGTAGATTTAATGGGGAAGCCCATTTGGTTCCAAAAGGTCCAAGGGCAATTCGGTCACAATGGTCACACCCAAAAGCGAGCCAAGCATGGTGAGTAGCAATCAGTTGGCATACCCCGACATAGCGCAGATGAGTAGAGAAGTCCCAAGAAATAGATGGGCCACAATTGGGGTTCCATGTGCTAACTGTCTTTTTGTTTCTCACTATGCCCAGGGAAATCTAGATGGGGTTATAGACTTAGAGAGTGCACGCTACATGTTGTATTCCGGGGTGGCTTGTGGGTGGTGGAACAACAACGCACAGGGCAGCATGAGTGGATAACACTAGTGAAGGTTGGTTCAGCTGTGCAGGATATCACGCATTTACGTACAGAAAGATATGCGGATAACAATACGCATTTATACTGTGTGTCTGTCTGATATGTTCAGTTGTCCATTTTGTGCTCGCCACTTGTCATAGGAGTTGTACATGCCCTCTTATTCATACATCGCTTTGTGCCAAAAAGCCATGCTGACCCAGCACGGCACAATGCACTTCGCCAAAGAGACTATGGACAGGGAAGTGAAGCCTGCCACATCTGCCCACACCACACTCCATCGGCTTGCAACAATGCGAGCCTAATCACACTTATATGGCGGACCCCTCTTTCGATTTGCTCAAGTGCCCTCGAATAACAACATATTTCCAGTAGTCATAGAGCCCCTTTACAACATTCCTTCCTAACATACAACGCCCCTGCCCACATTTCTGAGCCAGCGGTTTATTTGCCCTCCGTACACAAATCCGCGTCCTCTCTGCGGTTCCAGCTCTGGGTATCGCCGCGATACCAGCCAGAAGTAGCCTGGGCGTGGTCCTAAATTGGTCTTGCTATAAAACAAAAATACCAAGCCCTCTTGTCACTTCATTCAAGTGAAGACACATTTCTCTACACACAACATGAAGATTATTCGAGGTCGCCCTGAACCCAGAAGCAGGGCTCCCTGTTTGGCCGACGAAAACGCATCAGCATCACCCTCAAAGGAAACGCCCTGTGAATTCACCTTTCTGAACCTGATGTCGAAACCTCTCTATCCTTTGGCTCTTGAAAGGTCCATCTCCGACTAGACTTCATCTGAAACAGCATCTGAAACAAGTCACGACAGCTCTGGGGGGTTTGCCCCTTGCCCACACTCTCCATGTGCTTAAGTCCCCCGGAAAAAACGAGCAATATTTCCAGCTCCGACCTCCCCCCCTCGCGAGGCGAAAGGGTAAGAACTTTCCATGTAAGGTCTGTCAGGAGGGTGGGTAGCCCCTTCCAAATTCAGCAGAATCAGTTGAGCGCCCCTTTTGGTTTGGAGATGGGCTGGAGCAAATTTCGAAAATCCGAGCGAATGAAAGTAGCTTCTGACGCCGTTGCATCACAAGAAGCGCCCTCCAATTCCAAGAGCCACGGCTCAGATGGCACCAGGTCTCCCCAGAAAAAGCGACCTATCAGGGAAACTCACCTTAAACGGGCCAAGAAGGTGATGCACAAACTACCAAAGGAAACGCAAGGTCCTCCAGTAGAGAGGTTAGAATAAGGGTACCCTTTTTTCTGCAGTCTATTTTAGTAGGCGAACCCTCCCCCAAAACAGGGTAAAAGGGCACTACTGGGGGAACTAGAATACAAGGACCCCAGAACAACAGCTTGGCAACACAGAGAACCGCGCTCAGGGCCCGGCCTATGACAATGCAGGTGTACCTAGGCCCGGCGCCTATCGCATCCACGGCTCCGTCCGAGAGCTGCAAGCCGCGTGGTTTGGAGCCCGCTGGTTTGGAGGTTCAGGGCTTCTCACCCCCAAGAATCCCAACCAGTTCAGGCCAACCATGTGACACTTCATGTTCTCATTGGCTGAGTGGATGGCCCAAAAAAAGCCCAAACTTCATGTTTGCCACTCAAATGGTCATCCCAAAAAGTTTAAAGTTCATGAACTCAGGAAGTGAGTTTTAAGCGAAGCTTGAAATTCAACACAAGGCTTACACATTTTAGGAGTGCAAACCCTCGACGTTGCGCATGGCTGGTTTCCGCGTGGCGTTTTTTTGCAACAAGTGGGATAACCTGGCAATTCATCTCGGTTGCGAAATCTGCGCCCCTGCCACAAGTGACTAACTTTTAGTGGTTTACTTCGGAAAACCCATGACTTGGATCAAAAAGTTAAAGTCCTAACCTCCAAGTAAAATGCAGCAGAGTAATGTCTATTCGAGAACCAGCCCTTCCTGGGAGTTTCAGGGTTGGTCAGAAGGAATTAATTGGCAAACGACCGCAACCAAACTTCAAATGGCAAACGTTCGCCCCCTAGAACAAATGCGAACATGTTCAACCAGTAGTGAAATCGATTCCCTTGAAGACCAATAGGGGGAAAAATAACACATTGGCTTCAGCAGATGGAAGCAAATCGATCCCCTGCTGAACTTTGAGTGGGTTAAGTGGAAACCACCACTAAACCCTAAAAATCTAAAGGCGTAAGGAACCGGAAGGCCGGGAACCACCAAGGAATCTGGTTCCTTGCGCAAGGCGAGCGGCAGCACCGTCCAGAGCACACAGGCGTTGACCACGGGCACGGCGATCCAAATCTCTTTCATGTCCCCAGAGAAGAGCCTGCGATGCACGTGGCACGGGCGTCAAAAATGCTCGAAACCCGAAAGACGATCAGGTCCGGGAGCCCGGGGCCCCGGGCTTGAGGTACCTTGGACCATGGGTTGCCTGGTTCCCTTTGCAAAATTCTCTGAACCCTGCTTCCATT